GTGGAACCTCAACAACAAATTAAAATAAAGTTCTAATGGGTCAAACAAACTGTGTGAGTTTGTAATGTTGGACCCAGTCATTTTGATTGAAGAACAACATGTACACAGACATAAAAACAACAATTTTCAAAATTTCAACATGATAAACATTTTGCTGTTTGCAGTCTGTGATCCAGAAATGTTCTTTTGTTGTTCGATCTGAGACTTTGAACATGAAACTTGAAATCTGTGGCATTGGCGACCTCAAACACCACTCAGTCATCTGTCTCACAAAGTTAAATTCTTCTTTCAGCACCTTCAACTGGGTCTTGGGCAACACAAATCCCATGGAGTACATCCCACCTTTCTTCTGTGCCAGGTCTAAACTGGAGGAGACAGAGACACCACATACGTTCTTCACTGCCTTGGGGTCTCTGGCCATGAAAACCAAGAACGAGGAGTAAAGATGTAGAGCATCTCACCATGAAAAATCAGCAATACTGCTCCTAGAGCTAAACTTATTCTAAATGATCCAGTAATCATCAAAGAATGATTACTGCAAATTGTATTGACATGATTTAAAAGGTTGCTTGAGCCTGCTCAGCTGCTTTATAGCCACGTGTTGAACACCTAGTCATATGTCTATTACACTCTACATATGTCCTCACTCAGAGAGAACTGAGTGAGGGAGACTTTTCAGAATCAACTAATGAAACTTGATCTCCTCAATAAAATCTATAAAAGCATTGAATGGTCCTGCAGTCTGTGGCGTTTGGATGAATGAATGAATACGTCTGCAGAAATAACAGGAAAAACAACTACAACATAGAACATAAAGAACTAGAAAAGCACTCGAATGCACCTCCACCAAGGCCAAAAACTCTCCTTAAATTCAATTCAGCTGCATCAATCAGTTCTCTTAAATGTCCCTGATTCTTTTTATGAGATCCATGAATTGTTCTGTGGTGAATAAATATGAAGCATGATGGATGGATGGCTCTTTGTGTGTCTCTACGGCAAACTGCATTACCACAGGATACATGTTGAAGTCACACAAAACAGATAAATAGATGGATAGTTTGATTGATGGATGGATAGATGGATAGATGGATAGATGGATGGATCATCTATGATAGATGGATAGATGATGGATGAATAGATGATAGATGGATTGATGGAAAGATGGATAATAGATGGATAGATGGGTAGATGGATAGATGGATAGATGGATAAATAGATGCATAAATGGATGGATGGATGGATGGATAGATACTGCATTTGAACGGCTCATTGTAAAATGACTGTAAATATGTACCATACATCTGCTCATTGCTCATCAATGTGCTGCTGTGTAATTTAAATGGCTGTTTGTGTCTGTTTAAATCCTCCTGCGGTCAACTGCAGTACTATTTGTCCTACAGCAGATGGCGGCAGCACAACTCTTACTTCATCAGTTCCCACTTTGATTTATGCCTCGATCAAAACTTGTCCTAAATTTTAAATAATTCTGGAAACAATTTACTTAATAAATCAGCTACTTGAGTAAACTACACAGCAATGCCTTTTAAAATCAACCACATTCTTGTATGTATATATAAAAGTAATATTGGTTTATGATATGCAAAAAATCAGTAGTTTTAGGGATAGAAGAGGACATTTTGATGTATAGGGAGTTGTGTAAAATACATCTTAAATATAGGATGTATGGTATTTATTATATCATATATGAACTTTAATGTATGAATATTTCCTTACTAAAGGTCATTAGATGCACCTGAAAGCTCAGGATGAATTACAAAGAAGGTTTTCTTTGTTAAGTAATGTTTTGTTCATGTAGTTGCATGCCCCACCCAGGATTTGCTCATGTGTGTCATCACATCATTATATGATTACAGCTATGTTACACTGTGTTCTCAGTCATTCAACAGTTCAACGGTTTAAACACTGTCCATGATTCATAAGACAACAAACATTTGGGTTAACCAAAAGCAAATATGTGATTTTCTGGAGAAAATAAAATTACAGCAGGATGCAGATGCTGCTGTGTCCTCAGATGAAACATCAGTTTGCCTGCAGTAACAGTTCCCCGCTGTCAAATTAAACACTTTACCATTTAAAAGTTTAATTTTCTTTGTTGATTCATCTACAATTTATTTGTGAACGGTGACTGAAATCACTCTTCTGTGTCTTCTTACAAGGCTGACTAACCCACTGAGGGTCAATAATAAGAGCATCCCACTTTATCATCAGAGGTTCTTCACACTTGTTTCTCCTTCAGGGATATGAGTCATCATTTAAAAAATGAATGTCAAGGTGTTTGGAGGTGGCTAAGCCTACTGTCAAACATTATTCATCTGTCCTGTGTGTGTGTGATTAAAGAGATGAGAGACCGTGATGGCGCATTATTGGCAATAGCCCCACAAGTCTGTCCAATTATCAGTCTAATGATTTTCTGAGCATGCTGGGACTTTGGCGTACCTGCGCAGTGAGAGACGGGCCAAATTGTTAGGCCCCTGTTGTGATAAGAAAATTACATTGTTAAAGTCAGTTGTACCCTCAACCAGATTTAACTTAGGCTAAATCTGAAAGTAGAAGACGCTGTATGTAGATTTGTTAATTATGTGCCTGACTGACGGTCAATGACAAAGTCAGCAGAAAGTCGAGGCAATTTCAAACCCTGTTGCCTTAAAAATTGTCAGCAGCGTCACATGGACGGGCCTATAGCTCAGTTAACAACTGCTGGATCTGAAACAGCAGGGGACTTTTATGCAAAGCTACATTTTACATCTTGTACATCGATGTTTATTGTACAGATGCAATTTTGTTGGCAATGAGTCAGATGAGTCAGAGGACTCAACCACAGCAAGAAGATTTCAACATTTCTGTAATGTCATTTTGCCTCATATCCCTGACATTTGTTGTGAATAATCATGGGGCAGAAAGTTCAATCCCACTTTTTTTGGTGATCTTCCTCACCTTCCCTCTAGAACATGTAGAACATGTTCCCACCTCTTTATATTCTGTCTATGGTCCCCACATGACCGCCACGAATGTTCCTCTAGCACCTAGCATCATGGCGAACTTGTATTTTTTGTCCCAAACAATCTAGACAATCTAAAGAACAGCTTAATTATTCTGTTTATCATTGAAGACTTTTGAACAATGGAGTGAAAGACATCATGATGAATCACACAAATTCCTTACGCACCTGAAAAAAAGTCAAATATACTATGAATATAATATAATTGCAGCCCTGTAATTTCAATAACAATTAGCATATTGCAGTTTATTTATTTATTTTTGCTGGTTAAATTCTAAACATCAGCATGCCAACACTTGTATATTAGGACTTGGGGAGTTATAGAGCCGTGTTGCTAGCTTGGCTAAAAATGGCTACTTCCATTATCCTCCCTGCACAGAACCTATAGGCCTATGTAAAAGTCATTGTTCTGACCTGCCTGTATAAACAAATTCATCAGCTGTCTGTTTAAATGACTCAATAATACCAGTGATAACAGTATTTAAATTAATTCAGCTCATAAGAGACAAACCTCAGAGAATTAATTAGTTGACTCTCTATTCATTTGGTGCAAATTAGGACATATGCTACTGAATTGTGAGTGTAAATCCAAGCAGGTCAAATTGATTCCAAGATTTATTATCCACAGAAATGTCCACATGCAAATTAATTCAATATTGTCCTCAGTCTGATTTTAGTGACTCAATGAACAGCCAGTGCATTTCCTCCATCAGAGCTGACCGTCTCTGTCAAAGGGACAAAATGAACACTGACAACAGGCGGCCAAGGCAGCTGGGTTTAATTTTGGAATGACGTAGGTGCATGGTGATAGTGCAAGTTTCATTAAAAAAGTATTTGGTTGTAACATAACAGAAACATGTCATCTTTTGGCCACAGTTCATGATGGATGGTCCTCGAACACCGGCGTGAAATAGTGAGCGCAGAGAGAAGCTTTTGCAGCTTGATGCCAACAACCAAACTGTACATAGTTCCAGCAGTGCATGTTGCGTTGAGACACCTGATGTCTTTCATTTTAAACCTTAATGCGTCTCGTGTTTAAGTTCCTTCAAAACTCCTCATTGCACCACATGGTTTAGTTAAATATTCAGCCACAAACACACAGTACTGTGAGATTTTAGTATATTTGGATAATCCCTCAATATTATGAAACTCATCGTTACATGAACCAGTCACTTTATATTAACCTTGATTTGTTATTTTACTCTTAACTTTCTGTTCTGAGCGGCATGTAGCAGGAAGACAAAACACATCAGTGAATGCATGAACCCACTCATTCACCCACCAAACACAACAAATGGCTGAAAAACCTCTTTTATTACTACACAGTGTACTTATTGAGTGCTCGTTCTGCCTGATCAAAGAGCCCTAATTACACGCATTAGTGAGTAATGACTCCAGTTAGTGGGAACTACAAATAAGACTCATATGTGCAGGGTTACAGATTGAATGTGTGTGTGTGTGTGTGTGTGTGTGTGTATTTGCGTTTGGATGGTGAACTGATGTGTATATTGCAGCTAGTGTGCGTACATGTTGCAGCTGTTCCCTGTACACCCAGAACAGTATTAGTCACTGTGTGTCCACCATTCAGCAGGGGATGATGGACATTGGAGGGTCGGCCACCAATTATCCTCTTTTCCCTGACTAGAGAGGCCCCCCATCCATGTTTTTTTTTTCTCTCTCTCTCCTTCCCTCTCTCTTTCTCTTTCTTTGTCATTCATTTTCATCCCTTAGTTTCTCACAGTAAATGTCTGATGATAAGGAGCATGAGGAACCTTTTTACTTTCATTGCATGAATATATTTACATGAATATATTTTGTTGTTTTTTTACTTTAACTTTATTGAAATTATACAAGGTCAAGCACTTCAGGTTTACTAAATCTACCCACAAGTACCCCTAATGCTCAGCAAATAAAACATTCAGTCCTTTTTAGATTTAGAGCACCTCGGAGTTTCATGGCTCTGAATAGTTGCCAAAATTAATGATGAGCTTTGGATGTGTTGGTCAGCAGATTTTCTTGTCTTTGGACAGAGCCAGACTTTCTGTGTCTCTGTGTGGCCTGTCATTATGCAGACACAGAACTGTTTCATGAAAATGAAGAGGTGGTGGGATGAGCAGCAAAGGACACTTCTCTGTAACTCTTATGGTAAAGTAAACAACTGCTGTCTCTTACCGTCCCACTAAACGCTGTGAATTTGGACATCTTGTGAGGGGTAGAAAAGAAAAGCAGAAGTTAATGGGCAGTAACTCACTTTATGACTTTGCTTAGTGGCTCGCTCTGTGACACACGCTTGTTTGAACAGCCTCACACATATTGGCGCAGCATATGGCCATGAATATGTTTAGAGGGGCAGAATCCCAGGCATTCACATCAACCTGACATATACAGTGTCTGCTGTCTGTGAAAAAGATAAAGAACATCTTCATTCATGATTTGCATCGCATGAACACGGGTACATGGTGAAACGGGTTCATGACGTACTGGTCACACACTTCAGGAGTGACTGGAAGTGAAAAATGAGTTTTCAAAACTCATGAGTGAAGATTGGACGGCACAAATTGAGGAAATCATGCCATTAGCTGTTTTTTTCCATGTCGCAGTTAATTAGCCGGGTTCCTACTGGCCGACAAAGGTAGAAAATGTCCAAACAGCCCCCAAGGAAAACATATTGCTCGCCTCCATAGTTATCCTACAAAATCCCACACATGGGTTCCCCATCTGAGCCTGTTAGTTTCCCACAGTGTGACTTTTAGCAAAATGTTAGACAGGATTAAAAACAGCTTTTCTAAAACTGTATGATTAA